TTGGTGGTATTTTATCACCGAAACGATCCATTAAATTTTTCGTTAAATAGACAGGCTGAAAATAGCCATAGACAAGAGGTTTAAGAGGAAACGACAAATATTCTATTGTGCAATTAATTGTTGATGACCAATTGCTAGGTAAACAATCCCGTTCCGTAAATAGGTCATTTTGAATATAATTATAAAAACCAAGTTTGCAAAATAATAATTTATAACAATCAGCTGGATATTGTTTAGCGGACATGCCAATAGTTCCACTATAATAGATATCACGACTTGTACCAACACAACTAAGAATATCACGACCGACAACATTAAAAACAGTACCATAGTTATATATGCACTCCCCATCACCACATGAAAAATATCCTGAATAACGACATGTTGTCTCTTCACAGGCAAATATTATCTTGTCTATACAATTAAAAGCAGGTGGGTCAGGATGATTAATATATCCAAGAAATTGTGGAACTTCATCTGTTCCATCTAAACAATCCCGACTAGTGAAACCATCACGATAAAATTCTGAAGGAATACATTGTGCTCCATTATGACAACGGTATTCATTTTCTTCATTACATTCATTTACTTCCAATTCATGACAATATTTTTCATCTACACCAAAATCACCGTCAATACAATCAATTTTTCCATCACATATTTCACGCCAATCTAAACACATTGGTTCAGGACCACGGTAACACCCAGATAAATATGGATAACAAGTGTGTATCAATAGTTTTTTTTCATATTGTTTACGAGCTTTAAATGAAGCATTTACATAATCACCAAATGATTCAATAGAAATACTTAAATTAAATGTATATTGACAATTCGAACCAAACCATAATGATGAACAATTATTAAAAATAAAATCATCAAATTTTGTATCATTTTTAATGAGATATATAGAATATTGTTCAATTATATCAATTGATATTGACCATTGGAGAAGATCTTCACTAGTAATTCGTTGTAAACTTAAATTTTTAAATGTATAGCGATTTTCTATATATCCTTCTATTTCATTTATATCATCATTTGATAATGAACGACGACAATAAGGTGTTAAATAATTTGTTTGATTCATGGGTATATCAGCTGGATCAAGTTCATCGATCATATAAGCATAAAAACAATCAAAAATTGTTTCCGAATTATGATTATTATTATTATAAAGAAATGATACATCAGATTTATTTATCATTATCA